AAATTTCAGCCGCCTAGCTTTTGTGGTTCCCGAGTTGAAAATGCGGGACAAAATGTAGGACACACACACACACACACACACACAGACAACCCCGTGACAATACGCGTTTTGTAATGCTGTTACACAGCACAAACGCATAAAAATTTCAAATGGAACAGAAACCTATACGTATTTTCGAAATTGACTGCTCCTCCAAAGAATTATTTAAGCCAAGCACTGCAAGAGCTGAACCAGTGCTGCAGCATAGCACAACAAATATAACTCACCTGCATATTTATCAGTCAGTGAATCCATATACTTCTTTGCATCGAACTGGTAATAACTCCCGGCTTCATCATCACCATTGCCCCAATAATTTGGATACTGAAATGACTTTTTTTAAACAATTTTTTTTAAACATGCTTCTTGTATCTAAATATTTTGGTTAATTTAAAAAGAAAAAACAATCTTTTTCAAGGCCACTGGCTTAAAAAATTGACGAGTCAAACTGTCCAACTTTCAGAATGGCATGTATCTCAGTCAGTGTGCTCATCCGCCAAACAAGACCTTCTCGCCAAGCATTCCCATTTTGGGCAGAACGAGTTGCCCCAGTTTTTCTGTTGCGACAGTATGATTTCGAATTGAATTTTACACTTATTTTAGCTAAATTTTCTAGGCTAAATTTGGCTGTTTGCACAATCACCAGGCTAAGTTTGCAGCCTAATAGAATAATTTTTGTGTTCATTAACTCAATTCGTTGCTCTAAGACATATTGCTAGAATTATTGACAGTAAGCGAACATGAATTAGAAGGTAATCTAGCGGTAAATAACGACTTTACAGCATCTCTAATGACGGTGCATAGTGCAACCCGAATAGCAAAAAGTCAGCTTAATAGAGCAAACTAATAAAGTCGACGCTTAGCTGACCTATCATCAGCAGTTCCGCGCTGGCAGTCCGAATGATTTACTGACATAAGCTATGGAATGGCTCATAATTCTTATAGGCCTAACTCAAAGTTTCCCTGAATGTCATTCACTGTTAATGGTTTTGGACTAAGGGAACAATGTGTCTGCTTATCGAATTTTGACTTTTCTTATGGTCTCAACAAATGTATCGTTCGTTCAGCAGCAGCAGTGCAACTCTGTGCGGACTACCACTAAAGTAAGTAACCGATCGAATCACCAACACATGTTTATTTAAAATCATTTTGATGATACGTTTAGGCTTCTTGAAAATGGAAATGTAGAAAACGAATAACATAGTTTAATTTTGTTTTTTATGCATATTTGCATATATGTAAATGTAAAAACGAATCACTAACTCGCGAGCCAGAAAAGCTAGAAAGCTGAAATTTTGCGGTTATCTTCCCCATCCACATAGAGCTCAAAGATTTTAAATTCAGCCCCCGGTATGCGTGGTTCTCAAGTACGGGCTTATGAAGATTCCCGGTGGGAAAATCGCTAATTTGAGAACCAGGAAAGCTGGAAGGCTAAAATTTTAAGGGAATGTTCCCAGTTTACGCGCAACTTTAAAGTTTTCAAATTCAGCCTTGAGATACGTGTAGTTCTCACACACGCCCCTGTGAAAATTTTTGGTGGAGAAATTCGCAAACTCGGGAACCAGAAAGACTGGGAGGCTGAAATTTTAAGGGGATGTTCCCTGACCAAGTAACGCGTAGTTGCAGAATTAACTTTCTGAATTTCGTGGACCAGTATGCCATAAATTCTAGCTACTGGGCCTTCAAACGATCTTACAACGGCACGAAATACTGCAAAAACGCATGATCGCACAGGCCCTCCCGGTGCTTGTTGCCAGTGATTTCTTATGGGCTGACTTCCTAAAACCAAAAAAGCTCACCGGGCTGTCAACGTACGGAGGTTCCTCCTTTTTCTGTTCCTTGACTGTGGCTGTTTCATACGACATTTCTCCATTCACTTCTGCCGTGACTGAATCACGCGACTCCTGATACGTTTTTTCAGTAAGAACTGGTGCCGCGGCTGCAATACATTTTTAAATCATTCATTCTTGAAAAGTGTTTCTTCAATAAAAAAAAAGCAGTACTTCCTCAGACGTGCACCCGAACAAGTCTGGTATGCTTCCTTAACAGAGAATGAAGATATCCATTACTGACATGGTTGTTACTGAAACGTTCAATTGCAAAACTGCTTAAAGAAGCATGTGGGCAATTTAATAAAGTACCAGATTCCCCATTATTAATTTGTCGTCAGAACAAACCAGTGAAACGTCAGAGTTGCTCAAGAGAAAATGCCAAAACCAAAAATTTGAATGCAATTTTACTTTTGATACTTTACTTTTGTCCTGGTTTTCTTTTCAAATAAATTGATCTTTTCGTCCTGTTTACTTCGCATATTTATGAATATTTCAGTAAACTGCATACCCAGAAATTTGTATTTCTCTACAGGCTAAAAAGAGAAGCTGATTGCTTGAGAAAGTCCAGATTTCCAGCTTTTCTGTTCAAAACTGGAAATTCTCTGTTAGTAAAAAATTTGGTCAGTCTTTTATGTTCAATTTCTAGGCCAAAAAATACAGCTCACCGCACTCGCTCTTCGCAATCTGCTGTTTCGATTCCGGTTTTTTTTCACAAGCTGTGTCGTGTGTCGTTAGCTTACTGCACTCGTCCTTTTCATTCTGATGTTCGGATGCCTTTTCTTTTTCGTAAGCAATTTCAGGTGTCTTATGCTAAAACGAAATAAAATTAAACAAAATCGAAGTGCATTTTGACGGCCGCGCAGCTGTGGTTAATTCTTTAAAGCACATAACCGTATCATAGCACAATATGCGGAAAAATTCGCTGCACGGTGCGATTATCCGTCCTTTCTATCCGTCGATTATAAAAGCCTGCTCGATACCAGTACAGTTAATCCTTTTACTAGAGATGCCCAACCTATGTAATACTATCCTACAATAATGCAACGCCTTCATCCTTCATCCCAACCGACGCCCTTTCTCCTGCATGCCGGAAGGGGTCAAAGCAGGGCCAATATGAGCCCAAGTGTTAGGCTGTTAGCGATCTGCCAGTCTAGTCAAAAACGCACGATCGCACCGGCCAGCCTGGTGTGTTCCAGCCTGGGTTTTATTAAATGACCAACCCGGTAAAAACGCAACTGTTTTTATGTTTTAAGTCTTATGCGAATGCAAAAACGAATAATGTCGAGAGCATTTCTGTGTACGTGTATGTGTGTGTGCATGTGTTCAGAAAAAGGTGAACTCTGTCACTTACTTTCAACTCAGCCATGATGCAACACTACCGTCCCAGCCGACGCCCTTTTCCCCCGCATGCAAGAAAAGACCAAAACACAAGTACATGAGCTGCACCGATGTTAAACTGTAAAGCAACAATCATTCACACTGTTAACGATTTGATTGCGTCAAGTTTGGCGCAGAAACACAAAATCGCGCAGGCAAGCCTAATAAGTTGCTATCTGGCTTCTGTTAAAAGTTGGCCCAAGAACCCAGATTTTTGTCGCTAACGGTACCGCTTTTTCCGGCAGATGCTTCTGGCTAAAAGAATTTCAGACTGGCCGCCAGGACTGTCAGGAAACATTCCTCCAAAATTCCAGTTTTCTGGTTCTTGGATTCCCGAGTTAACAGCTTACCAGAAAAAACTTTCATGGGACCGCACGTGGGTACCACACATACCCGACGACTGGGTTTGAGCCCATTAACACCTACTTGGACAGGGGACATTCCCTCAGAATCCCAGTCTTCTAACTTTTCAGGTTCCCAAGCTAGCAACTTACCTGAAGAAAATTTTGGAGAGCCCGTACATGAGAACCACGCATACTTGGTGTCTGGGTTTGAACTCACTGGGACTTACGTGGACGGGAAACATCTCCTTAAAATTTCAGCTTTCTAGCTTTTCAGGTCCCCAGGCTAACAACTTACCCGAAAAAATTCCACGGGCCCGTACGTAGGTACCATGCATATCCGGGGGCTGGGTTTGAACTCATTAATATCTACTTTGACGAAGAACATTCCTTCAAAATTCCAGTCTTCTAGCTTCTCAGGTTCCCGAGCTAGCAACTTACCTGAAAAAAACTTCCACCGGCCCGTACGTAGAAACCACGCATACCCAGTGTCTGGGTTTGAGCTCATTAAGTCCTACGTGGATGGGGAATATCCTAAAATTACAGTCTTCTAACTTTTCGAAATCTCGAGTTAGCGACTTACTCACAAAAAACTTTCATAGGTCCGTACGTGGGTACCGCATGTGTAAGAGCGCCCATTTTGGGGATCGAGGCCCATACGTGCATGAAGAATAGGTTTCCAAAGTTTCAGCCCTGTAGCTTATGTAGGTTTAAAAATGAAAAACTGTGACAGACGCACATACAGACATACACACACAGACAACCTCTCGTCAATATGCTTTTTTTGCATTGCATAGCTGCAAAAAAAGCATAAAAATTAATCTTCACCGAAGCAGTCGCTCGCCCATACTAATTCATGACCTGTTAAGTACCAGCAGCAGAGCAAAATAGTATTTCTTTTAATTCCCAAAGTCAAGAATGCGATTTCAAAGATTCAGGCTTTTGGGCTTGAACCGCAAAAAGTAATCGTCAATCAGTCTGATGGATGCCTTATCCGTTCGGTTTTCTTAAGATACTTTGAGCACACCGATATGGTCGTACGGCAGACGGTAGCAATGCACCTTCGAAAAGTATTTTGAGCAGCAGTGCGATAATTTCAAGAAAGAGGTAGCAAACGCGCATAGATAATACTTGGATAGAAAAGAATTAACATACCTTGTTGTAGCTCAGGACAGTACTGGGATAATAGACAGTTTTCCTCCTGCTAAAAATCACAAATGCATTTCAAAAATTTGAGAATCATTTTTCCCAGCATTTTAGTTTGCAGGCAAGGAGACCAAGAAGAAACGGCACTTCTTCGTGTTTCACAGTCTCGTACCCTACTCTTTTAAACTAACACAAGTCTAACTTTCAGCAAGACAGTTTTTGGATTCAAACGACAGTTCATTTCAACAACGCCATCAACTCAGAGAGTGCTTGATGAGCTGAACCAATAAACAGTGGCACTACTGAATGCAGTACTTGATGATTTCGTGCACTTGTGAAATGTCGATACATGAAGTACTGCATAAAACGGGCAAAGCACTCACTGTGATCTACAGCAGCTAAAGAAATTTGCAACGCAAAGGGGCGATGGCCACCAAGAACAAGCCATTATGTGCAACTGCTTTAAGCTGCTGTAAAGCCAGAGTAATTCTAAGAAATACCAATAACTTGATTTTACCTTGTTTGTATGATTTTTGCCTATTTGTCTGGTGACAGTAATCTAGTCGCAAATGACGATTTGGGTCATCGTATAACCTATCGCTTCTGCTTTAGAGTGACACCAGATCGCATGGGCAAGTTCTTCATGTTGCAGCTTCGCGACGTGGGGAAGGTAGAAATTAGTTTTACACTTTTAAATCTTTATATGGCCGTGCGCAGTGTGCCTACATTTCTAATCCTGAAGTTGCGCCATCATGTCAGGCAGATAAAAAAATGTCGACAAAAGCAAACAAATAATCCCGCTAAACTATCTTCGTGATTTACGCAAAAATCCATAAAAAGATGAGGAATCAGTACAACCTGGCCAGGATACTTGCCTCGTGCCGCAACATGATGCGATATGACAAGGATAAACAAAGTTAAAAACAGCGGAAAGTTAAAACAAACAAATGGCAAGGCTATAAAACATATGTTGACCATCCAGAAACAATGTTCCGGTGCTACAGCCCGAAGCGTGATTATTTAGTTGCGGTATTTCTGACCGAAAGAGTAAGAGAATGGGGAATGATTTTGGCCTGTTAAAAAGTGATGCGTCATTAACATTTCCATTTTCTCGAGAGGTTAGCAGGAATTTAGACCTGGCATCGTATTCAATCACGATACAGAGACAAAGTCAGGTGAAGGACTTAATATCTAAAAAAATGTGCCTGAATTTGGATTTGGGTTTGGCACGAGGAGGCCAGAAAGTACAGTAAACTAGAAGCCGATTTTATGTTTTTGGCTTCGTGCACAGTGGAGAACTTTGTTCGCAGAACTTCAATTTGTGACTTTTTTAAATTTGTAACATTCGAATTAGACTTTCGGCCAAAGGTCAAGGCACGGAAAGACATGAAAGTTGATTTCGCGTATTGATATTGCAAGGGTCAGCTTTCTAACTTTTGCATCTACACGATTAAGATATGTGTTCACACAGATATAAAAATTCGTAATCAAACCCTAATGCTTTTTTATGTGTCAAGAAAGGTCAAAATGTCCTCCACATACACTCTGTGTAAGAAATGAAGACACTTTGGAAGTAGCCTGAGCAGTAGCAGATGTCAGCAGCAACTACTATTGGCAAAATTGTTGACGTCTCCTTCTTTTGCTTATTAGCAGGATGATAGCAAATTTGACTCTCTAGCAACTGCTCGTACCAACTGGTCATCGAAACGAATGAAGGAGTTGTAGAGCGATCGGTTATCTCACCTACAGGGTCGAACCAAATGCACAACAGTGCATATTTCCACTGCTCCGTGCCCGTGGCACGTATTAGTATGCAAAC